TTTTATGTGATGGGGAATCCATTTCTTTTTTTTTTTCTTTCTTTCTTTTTTTTAACTCTAAGCTTTAATAGTGATGATAATGATTTTTTTTTATCTTTCCCCCTTCTGGGAAAATGAAATTTTATTGCTCTGGAAGAAATTAATTTTAAAAAACCGCTAGAACAGAATTGAAATGAAATCAGTTTTGTTCTTGATTGAACTGCTAACCGCTTTGTGGTATACTAATAGCCGCCTGCTGGTGATGAAAACAAGGCGATAACTGCTCAGCTCCAGAGTGTCCTTTGCAGCTCTCACCACAGTATACACACTTAACTACATCAGTCATTTTATCTATTTGACACTGATTAATTACTCCGATCTATTCTGGTATTGGAGCCACTGCCTTGGCGCTTCAGTCAGGCTTGAACAATCCAAGTGAGTGCAGCAGTGTGAACTATGTATTTATTACTGTGACCTTTCATGCTATTTAATTAACTTAAATAAGTGCTATTTGCATCTCCATTTTGAAATTAAGGTTATTACAGAAATAGTTGTTTTACTTGTATTTCATTTTAAGACAGCAAAATTATAATATCAGCTTATAAGACAATGATGACTTTTTAATTAATTAATAAAGATATTTTATTTAATGTTGATGCTTAAATTTTTTTCTTTTGTGAAAATTTAACAAAATTATTCACTACTGGTTCATCTTCAGTTAGGCTGTATTTCTAAATCAAGGGATACATAGAACACTTTAATGTAGTCTTTAAACTTGAAATGCAGAATTTGACAACCTGCTTTATAAACACCATGGAACATTTCCTTTGTGACCCTACACTAAGGATTGAATAGGAGAACATTTACAAACAGACCAATTTAACGTTTGGTGTTTGTTTTTGTTTTTTTTTTAACACGTCTAAAGCAGCTTAAAGAGGAGCAACCATTAGGGCACAGGCACCAAAAAGAAATATTTGCAACAATATTTCATATACATCAGCAAGAAAATCACTAAGGTAAATGCACAAAGGATTTCTTTACAGATGGTGGTTAAACATTTGAGATGATACCCAGCACCACTGCTAGTCACTGAAATGTAAATCAGAGCAATCAGATTCTGGTTGTTGATTATCTAAATAACAAAGATGTTTTTATCATTTTCTTGCATTCTTTTTCTGTTGCTTGGTTTCTAATAACACCCATTGTTGATGAAGATGGCAGGAATGTAAAATTGGAATACACTTAATGCCTTTTTTTTTTCAAGGTATTCCACTTCTGATAATCCATCCTAAGGAATCAATCAAAATTAACTTTTTTAATCTTTGTTATTCTAAGAAGTGAAAGTAACATTGTTGTAGTTTAAACTGTGTTTCTTTAAAGTATCTTGCTTTATAAAATTTTTTCATTTTTGTATAATCATATCATCAGCCTTTTCCTTTTGGTTTCTGACTTTGGCCACTAAAAAATACTGTATTGCTATATTTACACATTTCTGTTGACTCCTTTCCTCAGTATTTTAAAAGACCCTGCTTATCATATACTGAATCTCCATAATGGGTCTTTTGGTTCTTTTGGTTCCTTTGCCTCGTTCCATTTATCTATGAATTTATTCATAAGCCACCACATCTTTGAAGCAGCTTTATCCTATATTTACATACAGTATAAATTTACATATAGTAAAATTTCACACACTTTAATGAGTTTTGACAAATGTATACATCCCCCGAGTCGAGATACAGAATATTTACATTACTCTAAGAAGATTCCTCGTTGGTCCCCTCTGCAGTCAGTCATCCCCTCTGGAGTTGGTCATCCCCAAATTCACTTCCCGAGCCAGGACCAATGATCTGCTTTCTGTCACTCTGTATAGGTATTATAATCCTAACGCATTAGTATTCTTTTAGAATTCTCTACCAGAGTTATTATACAGAGTATACTCCAGCTTCATTGCTTTTAGCATTTTTTAAAATTCATCTGTTTATCGGTAGTTTGTTCCTTTTTATTGCCAAGTAGTATTCCTTTGTGTAAGGACTTATAATTTATATATCCATTCACTTGCTGGTAGACTTTTGGATTGTCTTCAGTTGGGGGTCATTATGGATAAAATTGCTATGTACATTCATGTAAAATTTTCTCTGTGGACATAATGTTTTCATTTCTTTCGGATAGATACCTAGAAGTGAAATTATTGTGTCTTATGGTAAATATATATTTAACTTTATAAGAAACTGGCAAACTTTTTGAAAATGACTGTACTATTCAGCATTTCTACCACCATTGTGGGTTCATTTGCTCCACATCCTTGTCAATACTTATAAAAAGGGGGCAGTCGTTTTAATTTAAGCCACTCTATTATATGTATATGTATTAACAGCTGTGTTTAATTTGTGTTTGATGACTAATGACATCGAGCATCTTTTCATATTGGTCATTTGTATATCTTCTTGGTGAGGTTTCTTTTAAAATATTTTGCTCAATTTTTGATTGGTTTGTCATCTTATTATTAAGTTGTAAAAATCTTTACGTATATGGATACAAGCTCATTGTCAGATATGTGTGTTGCTGATATTTTTATTCCACTTCCTGGTTTGTCTTATTTTCTTAACTTCTTTTAAAGTTTGTGCTTTTGTGTTCTAATTAAGAAATCTTTGCTTACCATAATGTCAGAGTTTTTTTTATGTAATTCTTCTAAAAATGTTGTTGTTTTGCCTGTACATCTAAGCCTGTAATCTATTTCATGTTAATTTTAAGAGTAATCATCTTTTCCCACATGTATATTATTGGTCATCAACATTTCTTGAAAAGACTGTTCTTTTCTCATTTAATTACCTTGCCTCCTTTGTCAAAAATTAATTGACCATATAAGTATAGTTCCGTTTGAGCTTTATTTTCTTCCATTGATTTGTATGTCTGTCCTTACTCCAGTAAGACACTGTCTTTATAAGTCCTCCTATTTTGTTCTTTTTCAAAATTGTTTTCACTATTCTAGATCCCTTAAATTTCTATATAAATTTCAAAATCAACCTGTTAATTTCTGCAAAAAAAAAATCCTGCTAGGATTTTGATTGGGATTGTGTTGAATTTATAGATTACTTAGGGATAAATGAACATGATAACACTATTGAGTCTTTCATCCACAAGCAACATATATATCTCCCCATTTACTTAGATCGTCTTTAGCACTGTTTCATTGTTTGATGAGACTGAATCTTGCATATATATTGTTACATTTATCTCAGATAGTGTATGCTCTTTCAATGCTATTGTAAATACCGTTGTGATTTTTTATTTCAATTTCTACTTCTCAATTGCTCACATATAGAAATGCAATTAATTTTTTATTACTGACTTTATATCCTGAGATTGCTGAACCTTTTTACAGTTCTAGTAGCTTTTTTTTTTTTTTTTGCATATTGCTTTAGGAGTTTCTATGTGTAAGACCATATGGTCTGCAAATAAAGACTGTTTTACTCCCCCCCCCAATCTGTATTTTTTTCTTCCCCCACATGTTAATGCCTGACTCAGACATCCAATAGAATACTAATTAGAGGTGGTTAGAATGGACATCCTTAACCCCAGTCCTAACTAGGAAGAAAGCACTCAGTCTTTACCAATAACAATGATACTATCTGTAGTTTCTCATAGATTTTCTTTATCAGGTTGAGGAAGTTATCTTCTATTCCTAGCTTGCTGAAAGTTGTTATAAATTAATTTTGTCAGATGCATTTTCTGTATTTTGTGAGACAATCATGATTTTTCTCTTTTGTTCAAAGGATTTTTGAATCTATATTCATGAGGGATATTTATCTGTAGCTTTCTTTTTTCTAATAAATTTATCTTATTATCTTATTTTGGTATCAGGATAGTGCTGCCCTCCACAGATGAGTTGGGGAGCATTCCCTCCTTTGTTTTTTGTACATTTGATATTATTTTTTTCTTAAATATTTTACGGAATTCTCCAGTGAAGACCTTTGGGTCTGTCTGCTTTGTTTTCTACGGTAGCATTTAAAATTATCAATTTTTCCTCTAAACACTGTTCTAGTTATAGGCCACCTATTTTTATGTTTCATTATCATTCAAGTCAAAATGCTGTCTGATTTTCCTTGTGATTTTTTATTTTGATTTATGGAATATTTAGAAGTCTGTTGTTTAATTCCTAAATATTTGGGGATTTTTCCAGTATCTTTCTTTTACTGATTTTTATTTTTATTCAGTTTTGGTCAGAGAACGTGTTTCGTATGAGATCTATATGTTTAAATGTATTAAGATTTGTTTCATAACCCAGCGGTGAACTGTCTTGGTTCTATGTAGATTTCAGCCAGATCAGGTTGGTTAACAACGTTCAGGTCGTCCATATCCTTTCTGATTTTCTGTCTAGTTGTTATTATCAACAGAGGAGAGGTGAAATTTCCAATGATGATTGTGGATTTGTCTGTTTCTTATTATGGTTCCATCAGGTTTGTGTCATGCATTTTGAAGCTCTGATTATATGCACACGAAAGTTTATTGTTTATGAATTGAACAGCTTAACAATTTGAAATGTCTCTATCTCTATTTTTTCCTTTAGTCAACTTTGTCTGAAATTAATACAGCCTCTCCAGCCTCTTTATGATTAATGTTTATATAGAATATCTTTCTCCTTCCTTTTACTTTTAACCTCTGACTTTATATACCCCTGACCATGAACTGTTTGAGGGCAAGGGCCATGTCTTATTTTTTTCTGTTTGCCCAGGACACACCATTAAGCCTCATATTGAGGAGTCCAATAAAACAGTCCTCCATGCTGCATGACCACTGTAGTTTTCCTTACTCTTTTACAAGCATCTGACACCTGTGCTGGACAAGTTAGATCTGCTTTGTTCAAAAATTAAACATAAAATTGCCCTAAAAAATTTAGAGTTAAAAAAAAATTAGTGAAACATCTCACAACAAAGAAAGAGAAGTACTAGGTCTATCTTGCCACTTTTCTGCTATGCTGTATTCCTTGAATTCTGAAACACATCTTTTGCCTTTCTTCGTAGGTGAAGCCTTGAAAGGAAAGATCACAGTGTACAAGAATAAGAAAGATCCACGCTCTCTCATTGTGACACTCACACTGAATAACTCAACTCAGATTTACGGTCTCCAGTAAAATGGCCACAAAAGCACAACTTAATTTGCAGTATTTATTGTGGAGGAGGGATGAGTACGGGGTGGGTGGAGGGGTTTTATGGGAGCACCTGCATGACGGATCCTTTGAAGCCAGAGAAGCGTGGTAGGTAGGAATCTGATAGAATTCAGCTCCACCTGCATAATCACATTCCTGGAAGTCTGGTCAGTGAGATTCAACCAAATGTAACCCCTCTGTTAAGTTTACCTTGAAAATCATTTAAATTGGCCTAAATTTGGAATAGAGACAGTCTTTTATTGTTTTTAATAAGTTTCTTACTATAAATTTTAAATACAAGTAATTAGTTATTTGGATAGTTTTATTAAACTAGTACCTGTACACAAGGTATTAACATATTTTATTACAGATTTCCTTTCTGAAGAGTAGTTTTAATTGTATCTGCTAGAATATCAGGATATGATACATTAAAAGAGCAAGCGTAAGGGATTCGAATGTGGAAGAGGGACCACACAGGTCACATCTGCAGACAGCTTGGCTGATTGTCCTGTAGTTCTGCTCTCACTTTATAGCTGCTTCTCTCTGCAGATATTCTTTAGCATCTAATTTTCTAGTGTCGCCCAGGAAATGTAGTTTCAATACATTTACCCTAGGTTTCATACAAGTTTTTAAAGGTTGGGATAAATGTGTACTTATTTAATAATACCTTTTTCAAACTAGATTTGTATGTAGAGTTAAAACATGCAACTGTTAATATACTTATATCACTGTATACAATTGTCACTTACAGTTACTGACTCAGTTTGAAAAACAGAACAGAAAACATCTGATAAAATGTGTACAGCAGCCATTAGCATTATAAAATGATATTTCAACATATTAAAGCCTTTTAATAAAGTCAGAAGCATTTTTTTTTAAAGTCTTAACAAAGGAATCATTTTTAAGATCACAGGGATTTGGAGGGGGATGGATATAGCTCAGTGATAGAGTGCATGCTGAGCATGTGCGAGGTCCTGGACTCAATCCCCAGGACCTCCATAAAAAAAAAAGGTAACAGGGATTTTAAGAAGTGGGTCACATGCTTCTTTTCAGTTCAACAGCTGATTCTTTTTCAAAACAAGACATACTCAGGCACCATAGCAAAGCGTTGAGAAGCGTGAGCTATGGGATCAGTTCAAGTCTTGGCTGCAGTTCTTACCTGCGTTGGTCTCAGTCAGGTCCCTTAACTTCTTTCTCTCTCGTGAATATGCCATTTCACGCACTAATACATTTCAACTACGTAGATCAGTGTCTGGCTCAGAGAAAACAGTACATGTTAGGTGATTTTATCATCATCATCATCATCATACAGTGAGGGACGCCTCCTAAGGATGCATCTGCATTAGATCAGTTTGAGATTGTCAACCTCATCAGATGCTACCCTCATACATGAGTGAGTGGGAAAATTACAGCAGAAATTAACATTTAATACAGAAAAAACTATCAAAAAGAAAGTCTTCAGGTCTTTATTAGACAACTGGACTTCTAGCAATAGGAAGAATAACCCCTTCAAAGATGGTACCTCAGACCTCAGTCTAAGTCTTCCTGTTTCTGTTGGGCTAAACCAGCCGGCTTGTTTTCACCATGATTTGAATTCAGACCATTGCTGGAAATGTGTAGCACTGATAATATAGCTCCAAGTGCTTTAAACTTTTGTCTGGAATGGTTTCGTGTACACGTTTGAGTAGGGTGTGGTGATAAAAATAAGCCCTTAAGAAGATTTAATGAATTTTCAAAGTAAACAAAAACCAGCTAAGTGCTTTTCAAAAATGATTTTTCTTTAAAATTCTTGTTTGATTTTCAGGGTATTTTCATCCAGTGGCTCTTTGGATTTTCTTCTGGTTGTAACTAGCCCAACCATTGTTAGTGGCTCTCTGTTCTTTTCAGTTAGCCTCCCAGGCTGGAACATTCTAGTTTGTGCACCTAAACATTTTATGGAATGTGAGAATCCAAATGTTAGCTCTTTGATTGGAATTTCGGCCATTAAACTGCTGCGGGAAGTAAGTACTTCACAGCCCTTGACAGTGATAAATGCAATGTTCTTTTGTGCTGTGGCAGATGGGTGTTTATGGATAGCAGTTTGCTCTGTCCCAAGGATTTTATTTCTATAAGAAAATGTATTTCTCTCCTATTTTCCTTTGTGAAAACTAACATTTTAATGCTGTACTTTGTGAAGTTCATCCAAGTATGATGGTCATCGCTGTTTGGTTGAGCAGTATTTTCTAAACAGAGCATTTTGGAAGGAGTGTTCTAAGAACACAGAACTGAGAGTTTACAACGTTGCACAGACAAGGTGGTCCAATAAGTAGCCCCAGCTGATAGGAACCCACTTTGAAATGAGTC